GGTTAAAGAACAGTCACGCATTTGTTTTGTGTTCATTCATTGTTTATTTCCGCTGCAGTTGACGTCCGAAGTTACTACTCGAATAAAATCAACTTTTGCTGTCAAAAAGATACATGGTTTTTCTAATTATTATAACAGTAATTTAGAGAAATAAGTATTAAACATTTTGACCAATTATGAAAGAATTCTGACCACAACCAAGTGGTTTTTGTAAGCTGTAAAATCTGCTATGATTTACGATCGCTTGGGTAAAATGGCGTCTAATGTCAAAATGATCGCGACGTCTGTATACTATCTAGGTAGACCTAGGCCTAGAGTCTGGGCTAGACCGCGATGTATAATATTCATTTTTGTGGTCAGAAAGTTACATGGTAATTCTAATTATTATAACAGTAATTTACAAAGATAAGTAATTAACATTTTGGCCAAATATAAAAGAATTCTGACCACAGCCAAGTGGTTTTGTAAGCAGTAAAATCTGCTTGTGTAAAATGGCGTCTAATGATCGCGACGTCATGTATACCATAATTCTAGTTAGGCCTAGACCGTGATAGAATTTCAGCCTCTAAAACGACAAATATCGTTAAATATGTTACTTGAATTGATAATTTATGTTTAGTAGATACATAGGAATTAGTTTTTATAACAAATATTTAATTGATTTTAGTGATGTTAGAAGATTGATAAGTTCAATAAAATTATTGGTAAATGATGTGTTAGCTGTTAGTTACGATCACATGACTGGTATCTAGTGATTTGATTGGGCATTGTTAGGATTGCCTAAATTCTTAGAATGATTTCAATGTTCTATATTATTCTGTTGCTTCTTGTTTCTATGCTTTTATTATAAAATTAAATGTAACTGTCTTTTTTTCTAGAATATTTTATGAACTGATCCTTCTGGCAAAAATACCACTTTGCCAATTATTATAAAGATTGTCATTCTGGTAAGTGATCTACATACATTTATTTTTATATGAAAAAAATATATATAGATTAGGCCCCGTAAAAAAAATTTATTACGTTATAATAGGGTTAGCAAAAGGAAAATAAAACTACAATAAACTAATATTGTTTTTTTATTATGGGTCCTTATTATAATGCATTTAATAATCAACAATTCTTATAATATTTCAGTATTTTAAAATACCATTATTATTGTTGTTGTTGTTGCTGTTATTTCTATTATTATTTATTCTTTGATTTTATTAATTATCTAATTAATTATATTTTCATTTTTTCTTGGTAGATTTTCTTATAATGCCGCCGAAGAAGCGTAAGCTTATGCCCCAGCACCAACAGGCAAATGTCGACTTTTGCTTAAACGGTATAAATCCTGTTGATGCTGAAGACTTGCTGAATGGTCATGTGGTTTTAAAATTCATGCAGGAGTCAAAATTGTTTGCACCAACTATTGCTGAACACATGGGCTTACAGATTACAAAGAATAAAATCCAGTTACTTGTAAATAGAACAATTAAAAAGTACACTCATATCAACAGAGAGAAGGAAGTTTCTATATTAATAGCTAATTGTGATGAGAAGTACAAGCATGAGAAAAAACAACAAGAACCGGGAACTTCAGCAGAACAGGCAGTTAGACGAAAGTTGACCCAAACAACTTCTCAGGTTTCTGTAACACCATCTACATCTGTAACAGGCTCACCAAGTACAGTGCAAACGGTATCAAATGCTACAGTTGCAACATCTGTAACAGGCTCATCAAGTACAGTGCAAACGGTATCAAATCTTACAATTGCAGCATCTGTAACAGGCTCATCAAGTACAGTGCGAACGGTATCAAATCCTACAGTTGCAACATCTGTAACAGGCTCATCAAGTACAGTGCAAACCGTATCAAATCCTGCAGTTGTAACATCAGCGTATACAGGTTTATCTATTGGAATGAGGTCATTAAAGCGAAAGGGTCTGCTGACTCCATTCAAACGACGACTTCAACATCAAAATGAGATTTTAAGGACACGATATAGTGGCCTTCGTAGAAAATACACAGAAATGAAGGCGAAGGATGCAAAGAGAAGGAAAGCATCTGTACAAATAAAAAAATAAGTACTTGAAGCAAGAAATTAAGAGATCAAATGCAAGATTTGTGGAGCAGAAAGCAAAATCTGAATTAAAAGATGTAGAAATGGTGGAAATCAAGAGAGAGAGAGAGAGAGAGAGCTACAATGAAGAGAAAAATTAAACGATTGCGTACGGAGAAGGTGGTTAGCCAAGTGCAGTATGATAAGTTACTAAGGAAAATGAAGAGCTAAGGAAGAAGTTAAAAGAGAATAATGATAAATTACTGGAGCAGGAGAATTGTATTTTACAGTTGGAGGAACAGTTAAAGGATGCTGTTGAAGAACAGAGCAATGACTGGAATTGGAAGAAAGATGGGACTACTTTTAACACTATAACAAGAGAATTGGTCTTCAATATGATAGATGCAGGAGTCCCAACTCAACACATTGAAGATCTTATAGTGAAATCCGGAAGAACATTTGGCTTCAATGTCATTAATCAACCTAAGAGAAATTCTGCAGAAAACATGGCAAGAGAACTGGGTGCAATTTCAGACTATCAATGTGCTGAATTTATGTTGTCTGGCAGCAAGTTGACGCTTGGTTTTGACGCAACTACACAGGAAGGCACTCATGTCAACGGAGTGTATGTAAGCACTTGACGAATTACCTGGAGGAACTCACATTGACTATCAGATTCATATTGATGAGGCAATCAACAATCTTGCAACAGTATATAGTAAGGTGAAAAGAGAAGATTTTCAAGTAACCCGCAATGCTCTGATATCAAAAATAAGCAACACATTGACAGACAGCCGCTGTGAACAGTGGCGTAGAAAAATATTTTTCATTGGGGGGGGATGATTGGCGTGTTAGCCAGTGTCGTAACAGGCACGGGGGGGCAGGGGAAAATTGCCCCTCCCCTGACGGTTTTTACCGGGCCGATCAAGTCGTCGTACAGGGCTGGGTAATAAGAGAAAAGAAAGAGGGGAGAGGGAGGGAAAGAGAAAGAAGAGGAAAAGGAAAGGAAAGAAAAAAAAGAGAAGAGAAAAATAAAGACAGGAATAAAAAGGAAGATATCAAATTTACCAGACTCACAACACCCATGCAACCCCTTCTCCACTTCAAAAACTGTCATAACTCCTTTGATCTATGCTGCACGATGGCGTAACCACTGGGGGACAAGGAGAAAATATCTATCTTTGAAAAATCCCCCCCCCTTTATAAATGCCCTTTCATCCCCTGAAAGTGCCTAAAAACCTCAAATTTCGCGCGCATTTCTTGTTAACATGGCCCAATTTCCTCTAAAAATTGCACATTTTAGGGAGTTTTGATCAATTCCAACGAAATTAGAATTAAAAACACCGGGGGACAAGGGCAAAATATCCATCTTTGGAAATCTTTCTCCACTCCTTGACAAATGCATCCTCAGAAAGTGCCTAAAATTCTCAAATTCTTTGCGCGCATTTCTTGTTACGGTAGGACAATTTCCTCTATAAATTGCACATTTTAGATAGTTTTCATCAATTCCGACGAAATTAGAACTAAAAACACAAAAATATTTTGCGCGCTTGGCGCGCTTTTTTCAGGGCTTTTTTTTTAGTTTTTTAGCCCTTCTTTTAACCTAAAAGAAGGGCCTCAATGTGTATAGATGGTGAAAGAATGTGTTTGTAATAATTACAACCATGATGCTTATATTTAGTTTCAAACACACGTGTGTGGCCTATATTATAAATAAGATAAGCCCTATGTCGTATTGTTTTCTATATGGGGAGTGGGGTGGGG